AAATGACAATAATTGCATAAAACACAAACAACCCGCATGTTGTTCGTATAGTAAAATGGGTGCCGACACTAAAACAAAAAGAGCAAGGGAAAGAGTGAGATGGTAGAGAACCCACAGTTTCTTGGTCTTGGAGCGTTCTTCGGCTTGGTCTGAAGTTCTATTGTGTTCGTCATTGACAGTCATGGCGCCACTGGACGCCGACGAGATCGATGAAGAGTTGGGGGTCGCAGGTTGTTGATTGGAGACCTCGGAACACTCTTTGACTGTATCAGATAGATCTTTCAGAGCAGAGGGATCAAGAGTTGATGCTTGCTGCTGCGCCGGCAAATGAAGCAGAGGACTGCAGTCTTGGAGACCCAGCAACTCCATAAACCCAAGAGAGCTCTTTTCCCCTTCAGAAAACTCAAAAGCATTCGATAGAGGATAACCATTGTCACCCGACAATGAAGAGGATCCAGTCACATCTTCCGTTGTCACGCCCGTCTCCTTCTTCATTCTCCGTCTACTCGTATAGATACCTCACCCAACCGGATAAATTACCGACCCGACTCCTTCATTTCCCACTGTCAAAGCGTTAAAAGATGAAGAGCAGGGTAGGGTTGATCTTGTTTATAGAGAGAGAGAGAGAAAGGGGGCGGGGGTGAGAGTGAGAGAGATAGGGACTGTGTGCGCGGGGAGTGTGAACGTGGTTTTTTGGGGCTTGCAATGGAGGTAGTATAGGCCAATGGAAAGGAGGCTTGGGAAGCAAGCACGGGATTTGACCGGCAATCGGAGGTCATGGAAGGGTACGGACAACACTGAGCCGGTGGCATTCAATGCATGAGCGCCGTGCCATGTTCCCATATCTCCCTATCTGGTCGACGCTTTCATACGAGAGTCTGACCACGTAACTGGTTCGGGGGATTATGGTGTGAACGGGTTTCCCCCAAACGCTCTCCGTTTCGGCTTCAAACGGCGTTATATAATTATATAAGCATATGTTAAGTACAATTATACAATCTCATGATTCTCTTTGTAATCGTCTTCACCCGTGTGCATGTGAACAAGCAAAGCAGTTTAGCACATTTTCTTCTTTAATTTTCCTTTTCCTTTTTGAGTTTTGTGTTTTCTGTCATTTCTCTTCCTGCGTAACTTTTTCCGCACGCGTACATATAATCTTCGAGTATTCGCTCAAATTAACCTCACGGATTAGAATAAGTGCGAATAAAATTAAAATTAAAAACACAAAAACAAAGAGGCGTACGAGATACGCCGACCTATCGGGCAAATTCGTTTCAACTTTGAACATGATAAAGTAATTAAATTGGGCCCTTCTTCTAAGGGAGGTTCACCCACAAAAAGTTCATCAGTGATTTTTTTTTTCACAAAAAGAAACAAATAAATGAAAAAGGGCCCCGCCACTTCGGAGTGAGTGATGATCTATTCTAATTAAAGAGAACAGAGAGCATGATGAAGGGAGGGATTCTTTTTGGGCGAAACTGGGAATTACACCCAAGGAGGTTTCACGAGAAAGTGAAAAGATTATGAGGTCCCATATGCAGAAGTAGGAGGATAGTGGAAGCGAAGTCCGAGTTCAATGCTACAAAGAATAGAGATAGGCTTTTCTGGTTGGAAAACCGACCATATCCGAAGCAGTAAATAAAAGATTCGGAACCACGGCCGTAAGTATCGCTCTCTTCCCTCAACGAGGGTCCGCTTTTATCTTCTTCGTTTTTTTCCCCGGTACACCAAAAGCCCCACCACAAGTTGCTTTTTCACACACAAGCCGGACGGAAAGAGAACCACATCGCAGATCGCCTTTATGTTTTACACCCGTATAAAATATAAAAAAGAAAATGGAGCGGGAAAGAAAGGATGGAGGGAGACAAAAAGGGTAGGTACGTGGGAGGTGCCGGGGCAAATAACGTTGTGAGCGAGAACAGAGAAGTTGATGCACGTGTGGTTTGAAAAGAGCCACGAGGCGCATGCTGACATAATTTTCGTGCACAAGTACACGGCCTCTTGCCACGCTTCAATTATATCATATTATTCCCTTTTTTCAGTATATTTGGAGCCGGATCGCTAGGTTGTTTCTGGATGAAATAATAACAGGGCATTGGGTACAGGGAGGGGGGGGCCGGGGCGGGGTGTGGTGGGCGCAGGCTTGTTCTGGACGTGGAACCTGACGACATGTGCCCAATATAGTTCTTGTGCTGCCTCACTCTATATTTTCACTACCGCGTCATTAAAATCAGCATAAACTCCTCGTCACCTCACACAATGAGAGGGAATGAGACGAGTTGTCAGAAAGGCAAACTACACATTAACTTGGACTTACGGAGCTGCGGATTGCATCAATACAGCAAAGGGACGGGAAAATTCAGCGTGGAGGTAATATGGATAATAACAAAAGAAATATTTCATACATCCTTGTTTAATGTACTTGTCCTCAAAAGTCAAAAAAGGTGAAAACACGCCTACTAGTTAATAAGAAAGTAAAATATAAGTCCTTTACAGTATTGTTCTGCATCTGGTGGCATATTATTTTAAATCTTGATCATGTTATAAACAAAATGAAAATTCGAATTAAATAAGTAACGCCCGCGGGGGGTGGGGGGAGTTCAAAGAAGTTATATATGCATATATAACACGCCCACAGGAGAGGAAAAAGAAACGGGTTTTTGGGGGAAGACGGGGCCCATTAAATTTGTCGATCGACTGTCTCCATGCGTGATGAGAGGCCGTGCTATGTCTAAGTGACGGAATCAGCTACTGTGCTCATCATTTTAATAAACATTTTAAACTCATAATGTCTAGACTATTTTTAGATTTAATTTTTTCTATTTGTTTAAGATAATCGTTTTAAGAGATATAGAATATAAAATAAATATAATCTCTTAACTATTATTTTTCTATTTAAAAATAATTAATTTAAAATTTAAAATTTGATCTATTAAATCTCAATAGCTAAGATCTAATGAGGTTAAGATACTCATCGATGTAATAAGCACCTATAATCACCTTGTGCTGGAGGGCGGAGGCAACGGATGAGTTACTGAGCTAGAGGCTTGTCTCAGAACAAGAAAACACACACACACACACATAATGTCAACATAAGAGATGAAAATTGCGAATAAAAAATAATAAATATAGTTAACTCGCCTATTTAACAAGATAATAATGAGAGTGATAAAAGAAAGGGAAGATCCCAAAAAAATAAATGTAAAATTCTAAATTAAAAATAATTACAAAAATATGTTGTTATTTACCTTTGGAGTGTAATAATTTTCTCTATGAATGTAGTAATCAAGACTGATTTGAAATTTTAAAACTCAACAACTATTTTTTTAGGATTTTTCCTAAAATAAACTTGAGAAGGATTGCAGAAATAATTGAAATTGACTCCAGTTGGGGGTGTACTTTATAGTTTATACCGTCACTCCTTTAATATTTTTCCTCATATTATTTTAATTAATTTCACAAATTTTTATTCCCTTTTTTCTTACATTTAATGTTATTTTAAAAAATATTTTGTTAAAAAAATAACACAGAATTTTACATAATACTAGTGCCGATTCTGACAATAAATAATTAATCTAACTTGTAATTTATTTAATAGATGTGAATTAGTAGTCAAGTAAGTGTCGTGTGCACACTAGTTATATAAGAGCAGGTTAATAGTATTGAATTACTGTGGACAAGACGTGGCCAACCACAACGACAGAGGCAGCTAGACGAAACAAAGATCTTGCGCGTTTTAAGAATCTCGGCAACCAAAATGAGAACGGGTTTTGCCGCAGCCCACATGATTGATGCCGCGTTCCCTCTCATTTCAGCACATCACGTACACTAGCAATTAATTAATTGATGATTAGGTTTAATCCTCCTTATTCTGTGGGATTTGTTTCCATAATTTTTAGCCCCAGCTCTTGATTCCCCGCTTGTTTTGTAACGCCCATCGTCGCGCAGCAGCAAAACATTTTCTCTTATAAAAAGAGGAACAGTTAACGAACGGTGATAGTGTTGACTGGGGTTGCTTCTGGGATACGTTTTTGGAGCTCGAGAGAACCCGGGGGGCGGGGGGCCAGGGAGGCGGCTTTGCACAAATCCAAAGACACAAGATCCAAACCGGGTTGGCGTGTTGCGAAACGTCACCGTCTTGCCCTACAAGCCCAAATTAGCAGGGGCCCCACCGCACCGAATTGACCAGGTTCCCCGGTCCACGCCACGTGTCCCGAATTTACGACTAGCATACGCCCCTCTCTCTACTGGGTCAACATTTTTACCATATTCTGCACCCTCCTTCATATTTGTCCTTCCCTCCTGCTAAATGCTCACTAGTTGCTCGACACATTCAGAATAATATTGTCCCGTTTTTTATATAGACGACCTCGTTTTCCCCCCAAAGAAAAGTTCATTCTTTTCAGCTCCAAAATGCATGTGAGAATGCGCAAGATTCCTCGGTTTCTCCTTATTCAGCAATATTTTCAATGCAAAAGTGTTAGTGGCCACGGGTAGTGCCACTTCTTTAATTATCCGTCCTTTCAAATCTTATTGAAGCGAGATACCTGCTTCATCAACCCAATCGCTAGCAGACAACTAACCATATATATATGGTCGACAATTTAAGGCAGGCTTCTTGAGTCACCCTCTCTCTATCTCCGCTTTATTTAAATGTAGAGATGAATAATTCGATTATTTAAAAATTTAAATATGCAATCGAGGCTAGTTAGGGCTCCATTATTGGCGGGTGATCAGAGGGGGAACTCATGATTCATGGATAGTAGTGACGAGACACGGATTATCTTACTCTACTAACCGTTGTTGCTTTTTGGGTAATGACCCATTAGCAGAGGCAAACTTATGCTTTCCATGACGGGCTCTTATTAAAATAATCATAACGAGGCAACATATCTTTGCGATGTCATTCCCTCTCTCTCTCTCCACGAGAGCGGTTCTTGTCATGAAATTAAATGAACATCAAGCTTTTTCTTATCTAGAGACGACGGCGTACCCCATACAGCAAAGTCGAGGGCACTCAGAAAAGCAATATAATTTCTGCACAGCTACAGTTGAAGCGCAGGAATAAAACCTAATTAACTAGTCTTTACAAGATCATAATGTAGTGACATCACTGATCAGAAGCCGTCACTACCTTAACCATAATCTGCATGACCCTCACTCTCATTTGCAAAGCCAAAATGTAATCGGCCGTCTTTCTGAAGAGTCCATCCAACCCCATGCGCTCGCCGTCGGGTATGAGCCTCTTCAACTTCGTCATCCTCCTCTCCATCTTGTTGGCTCCTCTTCTAGAACCTTCCATTAAGCGAGCCCTCCTCTTCATTAGAATCCTTCCTCGCCTTCTGCTCTTAACGCTTTTTCTGCTCACTGCCTTCTGAGATTCCGTCACTTTTCTCCGCAGATGCCCACAAGACGAGTTCTGGGTTTCAACTTGAGCCCCCTTCTTCACCAAGTCTTTGAAAGAAAAGGGAGCAAGCGAAGGCTGTGAAGAAACTCCCATATTCCAACTCAAACAGACACCGATTGGACGCTCTTAGAATATTGCGATTTCTGGTTTTTATCTGTGCCGGATATTGCACACGCAATGAGAGCATTATACACGGAGTATCCGTGGGACGGCCTGGTAGGCATTAAGGAATAAGTATGAGGAGAATTTCAGAATAATGATTTAAGAGGATTAGAAGGCGGGGACCACATTCATCTCCAAGGGAATGGGATAAATGAATACTAATAAACGAGACAAGTGTAGGCGAGCGTGTCGCTTGTAGGGTTTGCGCATGTTCTCCAACTCAAAGCACATGCGTCCACATGATTGATCTTGTTCACCACGATCAACCCAACCCCCTCTGAACCACCACCTTTCATCACAGGCACCCTCCATCTTTGTAAGACCACCCTGGATTATTCTACCCCCCTTCTAAATTCAATGCATTTACACTGTGAATTGGGGTCCCCTTTCATATCCCCCCTCCAGCTCATCCATCATCAACACTTGCCTTTCAATATATTTAAGCTTCAGTCCTACGTTCACGCATGGTAGTTATTAGCCCATGTTTCTTGATGGGAAACCTAGCTATAGGACTCTATACAAATTAAGTATACCACAAAATGGTTGCTTGTCAGTACCTGTGTAAGCAACAGTCGGACATTTTAGATCATATATATTGGCCTGAGGAATATTTTCTTCTGATATTCTCAAGAACCACATTTTTGTTTTCGTTCCTACGCCCAGGAGCTGACACCGGGACAATCTTTTGCAGACAAAGATGACATCTTTGTCACTGGTATGGTAACTGGGGTTGAGCAAATTAGAATAAACCACCGCAATCTGTGCTTTGCTCGTTTCGGGGAAAAGCAGTTATATCGTCTTTTTTATTTGGCTCCACAGGAACGAATAAAATTGTTATTTTAAATGACAATTTTCACATCCTGCCTGTCCGTACGGGGTGTGAGTATATAAATAAATTTTATGAAGGAACTGGTCAGATTAACGTGAGAGCTCAGATGATAACTGCTCTAGATATACAGTGTGGCGGCGGGTAACAATTTCTTTTTTCTAAAAGTTTTCTTTATCATGTTATTAAAAAAATACTTTTATATTACTCTCTGTCTTTAATATAAGAGCTCGTTTGACTTTTATTTTGGTCATAAATATAAGACTTCAATCCACTTTGTCTCTTATATTTAAAAATAGTCTTTATAATGATAGTGCAGCTTTTAGCCAATATACTTGATTAGTAAGGATATTTTAGAAAAGATAATATTTATTTATTGCAAATAACTAACATAACTAATTTTTTTAATATACTCAAATTAGTTAACTAACTCTTATATTAAGGACGAGAGGTAGTATTATATTATTTGAATAAAATGATTCTATATGAATTAGCTTCAAAATAAATAAGTAGATTGGTGAGGGCGAATGATGTGGGAGGGTATGTAAATCCCGATTAATTTTTTGAACAATTGAGCTTGGCAATTCCTACCGCCATGAGAGCCTGCGTCTTCATTACAACCGGAGACCAAGTAAATGGCCCCGATACGTCGTAATTATGCCCACCTGTAATGAATACATATCGTCCATTCCCCCCATATAATTTAGTGTGAGAAATTAAACCAAGGGACGTACGAATGTAGGCTGTCTTTTCCGCTGGTCTTGACCCTCCACCTATTTGTTAAGATACATCACGCTTTTGTTTGGTTCGAGTCACGAGTTCAATTATATGGTGTTGATATATTCATTCTTTCTAGTATTATTGTTAGGTTAGTATAAATTCAAGTCCAGGACGCCCCGTGCACATGCATATACATATTGGAATGGAAGTCTCACTCCTCTTCTTCTCAGTACGTACATGGCCTCCATCGATGTCCCGTTTTCTCTGTTTGTTTTCCTCGGTTTTCGTTGCATTAGGTTTACCCACCAACCTAATCCTCCCTCACACAAGTAAACTAAGTCCTCTGATCCTTCCTATATATTAAGATGTCGTTTTCATAGGGGTAGACCCCATGCACAAATAAACGTGATGATAGGCATAACCCATCGATCGCCAGTTGCTTCGTTAACTCTTTCGTCCTCGCTGCCATGGCCCGCCTTAAACACAAAACAAAACTCATAATACTCTCATCCTGATGTTCAATCTAATGGTCCAAGAATCGCCACATGCCTTGTATCCTTAATTATTGATTGACCAGTTCATGTGCCAGAAGAGTGGTGCTAATGGGTAACTTCCACGTGGCAAGAACCAAGGTGGGGGTCAATATGAAGCTCTCCCTATCATTCGCCGTCCATCACTGTGAGGCACACCCAATATACAGCTTCGCTTTGAATTGTACGAAACAGAGCAGCCACTCGTGTCTCCATGTGCCGGGGAACAAACCCTCATCATGGGCCTTTTTTTCCCGATGCATTAATTATTAAGGTGTAAGCAAGGATAATTAACTGGGGCTGGCCTCTTTGTCGTGTATGGTGACTCGGTAGGGTGCTTTGTGGGCAGAGGGGTCGGATGCATATTGCTGGTCGCCTGGTCGCTCGTGTGGCACAATAGGCCGCCTTGGGTTATCCAAGCGTCCATGTGCGCGCTGACGTGGCCATATGCTTAAATAGTGATGGCCCGTCAATTGTGTAGGGAGGGGATCATCGGGGCAACTGAAGCCACAATACTTACACCAATAAGAATTGATTCAGTTGGTAAGAAGTCGGCTTATAACCCACAAGGTCGTGAGTTTGAATCCCGTTACAGATATGAGGACTTTATTGGCGGGTGATCTATAAGTAATTCTGTAAGCGCTTTTCTGAGTTTGGAGGCATGTCCTGACCTTAGTGAGCTCCCGAGACTCAAATCATCTAAACTTTTTTTTACCAACAGAAAAGAAGAAGTCACAGTGCTTACCATTATTTCGCAATGAATAATGATGAGTCTCACCGAATGGCCTCTTCACGGCCCAATCCATCATTATGCCAGTTTCCCTTTTGCAATTTTCGTGCCTTCATCCATGATCATGATCTGATGTACCCCTTGATCCACTAGGCATGAGCCCTCCCTTGTGTCAATGCATTTTTTATTCTTTTTCTGGGCCAGGTCATGGGTGTCCCGATCAGCCCAACGATTCTGATCGCAATTCGATCCATAGATTGGGCTTGCTTGGCCCATATGAAATTGAAACGTAGCCCAAATCGACCAATTTGGGAATGCCGACGCTCGAGCGCTTTTTTAAAGTACACGCACGTATTATATAATAAAATATTAAAGACTCGTTAGACCTGAGAGACGACGGAATATTTAATCACCGGTATGGCGTGAAACAAGTGTGCATTGGGCGTATGATAGACCGGACGGACGTGCGGAACACCCAGAAATAAGCGTCAGCTCCTAATTCTTTGAATTGATTGTTAGTGAAGATTTTTTCTTTCACCAATCTAATATTGTTTTCTTGAGCCAGCCAAACGTAAATGGAATTGCGATTTAGTTGGAGGCATTAACCCTGAGAAGGACCAATAATGGAATTGCTAATTTTATGAGCGAATTTTGCAATCCAATCAATCTGCACAGATATCTGCTCTTCCGTAAACATGCTCATGTCGCAGCACTCTGTTATCATGACTTTTTTGATATCACGCAGGGTGTAGAATTTTACAAACCGTTAATTATTTTAGTCTGCCTTTAGTTTATGATTGAAATTTCTTATGTTCCATGGGATTATGATCTTATATTTCACATGTAATCTCATTTATTGGGAAAAAATATTTTTGTGTTTGCCTGTTCTCTTTGATGAGGAAAAGACTCGAGACCCAAAATTTTGCTCAATTGATTTTAATTTCTGAATAATAAGTCCAAGTTTTCCTGGGCCTAAAAATCCAAACACCCTGTTGCCACGCGTCAAGAAAATTTTTGTGACCATGTCGCTGGCCTGATTGAAGTATCTACATGTTAAAACGGTGGTGTTCTTATAGAGATTAGGATCATAACAACTCTAAGAAATGAAATATGAGTTTTGGCTTTAAGAGAAAATGGCACATCAGTTAATCCCTTACTTGATAAGAAAAAGAAAAAAGAATGTATCGCTATCACTCCCACGCGTGAAGAAGGTCGGCAGGGTTCAAATCCTTAAGCTTTGGTTAGCTTGATGGGATACCCCGAGAGAGTAGTTTGACGAGTCGGGGGGAGCAGGAGAAGACGGTCAAACGAACGAAAATGCTTCGGTTAAAAAAGAAGGAAAAAAAGAAAAAACGAACAGAAATGCGCCTCGCTTTCCGGAACCTTATCCTGTAAGGCTGGACTGGGAAAAAACCGAATTAAAATGGCATTGGACCGACCAATATCTGCATGATATTAACAAGATGGTTCGAACCACGATGTGGTATTTGGAAATGGACTAATTAAAAATCCGCTTTAGTTGTTTGGAAGCCGAAAAGGTTGCATCTGGAGAATGTTTGTTTGCTTGCTCGATACTAGAAGATGGAGCGGCAAATATCTAGGACTTGAAGAAATTAAATAAACAAACTGCGGTCCACTTTCACACATCCACAGGTGTTGCCACCTTCCACCCCTCAAGCATAATGCTGATTCCATATCGCAGTCCCTTGGAAACCTATTAGGCCAACAGTCTCAACCTAAGCACCCACTTGGTTACTGTTTTCTACAATTTTTTTTTTTTAAATACCTTTTGATTTGATGCATATGATATATCCCACCCGGACGAAGATAATGGCACGTGTTCTTACTCTGCGCCCGCCCATCTGCAATTGCTCAGCAACGCGCGTTTGTATCTGTATGAGCAAACGCAGGTATCAAAAATCAAAATATAAAGAAATAAACAAAGGTCATATTCTGAACTTCATTTCTTTCAGAACCTTCCAATTCAGCGACTATAACGATCACATCTCTTTGCCACGATTCCCATTTTTCTGGTATAGACTCCAACCAACATTCAACCAAACCAAGATCACACTATTGTCACCGCGAAATGCCTCTGATCCCCTCTGGTTGATAAAGAAAAATTGACATGACCTTAGATTATTTTATCAGTGATATTGTTATTGGAAGGCCGATCACCTTTCACGCGGTGGCATCTACATATGCGAGGGCCAACGTCCAAAGTAGTTAAGCACGAAGGTCGAATATCTGGAAGTGACAATCTGACTTCGTGTCCTACCATTCCCAGGGAGCATGGGATCACACGTGAGAGGATATGCTACAAATGACCAACTAATAATTCTTGAGCATTAATAAATATAAAGGATGGCTACGCGTTCCGCCAATTCCCAATTCATACCCCAAAAAAAAAAAAAGATGTCCTTATTCAAACCAAACTAATTCAACAAAGGGAAAAAAATTAAAATGCAACCACGGCATAAAAAAATCACCGTGGATAATACCCCAAAAAAAAAGGATAATCCTAGCTAGTAGAAAATTTCTAAACTAGAAAGCCCTCCAGCCTCTTCATCCCAAGCAAGGTTGAACCTCAGTTTGCCATAAGGCAGCCACTCAAACGCGACATCGGCACCATTCAATTGACACTTCTTAGGAGACTCGCTTGAGTAAGCAAGAAAAGTTCCTTCGCCTTTAACCTTGAGCCTCACGCCTTCCTCTGCCCATTCCATTTCTTGAATTGTCCCCACGCTATTGAACATGTTCGTCAGGCCAATGGCTGAAAATCTGATGCTGCGCTTTAGCTCCGTGACTGGTACAAAGCTGAAGAGCTCAAAGGTAGAAGGTTGGATGGTAATTTGCAGTGGTTCAGACTTTTGGGTCATCAAACACAGTTCCTCAGCTTGATTCATGTACACTGCATACTCCTTTGCCTCAGCCATATGGGCTGCTTCCTTCGTCTGGTCCCATTCAATCTCAGAGACATGTACCGAACCACATACTGGCTTGTAACACTCTGGGAAACCCCTGAATTTGTGCATCTTGGTGTCCCAACCGGCACCTTGACAATTGAAGGCCCCAATCACCCCACCATACTGTTGAAGCATACACCAAGTTTGTGATTAATTAGCTCTGATTAAGACAATGATGCATCAAAACAATGTTAAAATATGGAATCACAGATTTATATAAATATACCTTGTTGAAGTTCCAAATCTTGAGGACAGTTCTCTGGTCAAAGAGAGGGTTCTTGAAAAGGCAATCTCTGGTTGGAAGGGGGAAATGGATGCACTTGGGTACGGTGCCATCAGGATAAACCAGCTTCTTGATGAGATCAAAATCATGAGAACCCACCGAGTCACTCAGATAGATCGGACCGCCACAAATGGCCCTCGAACCCGCATGGAATTTGGCACACACATGGTCTGACTGGAACATGTCCCAATCAGGCTGAACCATCTGCCCCATCCACAGGCTGTTATAAGCACAGTGAACCATATGTAACCCTTGTAACCAGAATACTCCCATTGGATCGCCATTCGGATCTTGGAACCAAAAGTCATCCCCTGTGGAAAAACACCGACATAATTGTTTTTCCGGTCTCCATGTGTGTCTTGAAACTAAAATAAATTGAAGAAGTACTACAAGGTAAGAAAAACTGCTTACCGACTCTAGCCATAGACACTTGCTTCGTCCCGAGGAAGTAAAAGTCATTGCACTGTTGCATACTAGCAATGATTCCATTTCCATTGAAATTCTTGGTAACAGAGTTTGACAGTCCATCATAGTAAGCCTTGGCAAGCTCTACTCTGCCTCCATATTCATCGCACACATACTCGAGAGTCTGCACTTACCAAATTCAGAAGCACAGTAATGAAAAACTGGAGATGAACTTAAGGAAAAAGAAAAAGAAAGGAGTCAAAGTTGGGAGAGAAAACTTACATGAATAACATCCACTTTGACTCCTGTAATGCCCGATTTGGCAAGATAGGAGTGCATAGAGTCATAAAAGTCATTGACTTGATCCGGATGAACAAGCCCGATTGAGCCTTCAATGATTCTCACCACAGCAAGATCATGCATCGTACCTTCTAGACCAGGGGAGGGTTTGCAAGGGATTACCTTAGAGTTTAGGTGTGTTGCTCCCGGCCTCACGCCACCCCAAGCACCACAAAGGGCATGCCAAACGAAAATGTCATCCAAACCTTTGAATTTAGACCTCAAATCCCTTGTAAAAGCCTTCATTCCATACTCGTCCGTTTTGCAGCACTGGCTTCCACATTCTTCGTCTGTACCGCTGGCCAATTCTCGCCAAAGACCATCGATTTCTTGTCTCACCTTCTTGATCCCAGTTTCAATCTGGGACAGATTGGCACTCGCAGAATCCAATGCGCGGTAACGTTCCTGCTGCAAATGCTCAAGTTCAATTCCCTTATTGATAAGGGCTTTGATCATTTTAGGATCCATAGAAGGAGCATTAGGGCCCAGCATAAGACCGCCCTTGTACTTTTTGAACTTGTCACCTTCGTCGAGTCTGTGGAGCCTTGCAGTCATTTGCTCACCACCTAAAACGAGATTTTTAGCGTCCTCGTTTGGGTCGTCTCCGTCCAAATTGATGCTTTGCCAACCGTCGTCGATGATGAGAAACCTCGGAGCCACGCCACCATCAGCAAAATCTTTCAGTCCGTGCCATATTCCGATGGGGTTAACGGTTAAGTAGAATGCATCCCATGTGCACCACCCAAATTTATCAATCAGAGTCGGTGTGGTTTTCTCTTCCAAGAGCCTGAAAGTATTGAGGTGAACCCTCAGAGCAGTGTAGGCCTCTCTCATCAAGTTGAAGGGATTTTCTGACACGTGAATGTAAGCTATGGCATGGAAACTGGATGCCTTCACTTGGGTCGACCCGCTCTCTGCGCAAATCATGACATGGCCGTCGCAGCCAGGATGAAGGGCAGACCTAAAGCTGCCTTCAATGATAGGAATGACGATGGCATAAGACTTAATCTCAGGAAGATGAAGGAGCACCCACTGAGTTTCCATTTGTAAGTCAGAGCCAGAGTTCCCGACCCACTGGGTAGACCACCATGTTTTGAACCTGAAGATACTAAGAAACTCTCTATCGCTGAAACTACCCAAGGAGTTCATCAACCTATCGGAGGGCTCTTTCTGTGAGAATCCAAGGAATCCACCCTGGTGATGTTGAGACACAACCCTCTGAAGCAGAGCGGGAGGAGCGTCGGAGGATTGACATATTTGAGAGAAGGGACTGAAAGTGACGTTGTCAGGGACGTGCGTGAGCAATGGCACGCCCCTGACGGTAAGCTTCCCCTCAGATAACACAATCAGCTGTTCTAAAGGTTTGGGGCCGATGAAGTTCAGGGTACGGTCGTTAGGCGGAGCCATGATGAAGACAGAGCAGAAAGACCGAGAAGATGTGATTCCAAACTGATGAGAATATACAGCCCGGAGCTTTGGTGAGCTTTATAAGGTACTATGGCAGCACTATAAAGAGAAATTGCTAACAAAACGGCAATAGACCAAGATTTGATATGAACAGAGGAGGTAAGAATATGATTTTGCGGAATGAATCGGAATCAGGAATATACAGGAGGTGATACACTTCTCAAGTATGGAAATTTACGAGAGAGATTTGCGCAGGAAAATGATAATGGAGAGAGGTTTTGAAAAGGGATTAATTGCGAAGAATGAAAGCTGGTTGATGGTAGTCGAGGAATGTTTGGAATGTCAGCATGGCAGCGGAATGGTCGGCGGGGAATATATAGGGGAAAACCAAAACTGTTGCGCAGTGCTGCGTGGCATAATTAATTAATAAATTATTGAATAATAATAATAATATTCCATGAATCGTTAACTTATTATTATGAAAATAAGGAGAGGAAAAAAAGCAAAGAGTGGAAGCGGTGACCACTCCCCCGGTAATTTTCGTGCTTTTTCAACCTTTTTATTTCCCAAGTTATTTGGCACTATTTAATGAAAAAATTAGATAACTAATTTATAAATATTGGAAAAATTAATTAAGTTAATTATTTATAATAAATAGATATTTTTAACTAAAATTTGTAAGTATACAATTATCATAAAATTTATTTAAAAATAAAATAAATATCTGTTTAAAATAAAATAGATAAAAAATTTTATATTAAAAATTAAATTAAATTGCTAATTAGTTCACGTACTAATAATTTTCGAAAGTTGCCGGAGAACGGCCAGACACGGAATAAAAACACAAATTCTGAAGAGACGAACAGATTAATGATCTACTGCAGACGCGTGTCTATCTTTGCTTAGGCGTAGAAGAGCATGAAGTGACGCTTGGCGATGCAATGAAGCGGTGGACCCATGCAAGCGCGTGAAGTCAGATGGATTATTAATATTATTTTATTTTAACACTTACGGACCGAAGAGGGCTTGGCTGGGCCCAGTGAGAAGAGGGAAGTAAGAACTGGAAAGTTCATATGAGGCGCTCCCACGTCATGCCACTTTCGCTTTTCTGCCTGCCCCCTCCTCTCCCTCGGATTACTTTCTTAGGCCGATAACTTTGTCCACGAATCTTCACTTTTGTCACCCAATCATGCGCAGCGTAAACTATGATCTCACCCGTTTCAAAATATTACCTCCGGTCCTTAATATAAGATCCTATTTAATTTTTATTTTAATTCTAAATATAAGATCCCAATCTACTTTATCTCTCATATTTATACATTTTTTTAAAGTAGCTCTTCTAATAATGATAGTTCTAGTTAATACACTTGATTGGCAAGTATATTTTAGGAAAGACAAACACCTATTTAGGATAAATAACTAACTCAACTTACTTCATTAATCTCCTCAATTTAGTCAATTGGCTCTTATAATTAGGACTGGAGGTAGTATAAACTAAATTTTTTTATAAAATAACATTTATTTTTATCTAAACATTTAATAAGTTTTTTTTAATTTTATCTCTATATTTTTTTAATTCATTTATGATATTTTTTACTTATTCTCTTTATTAATAAGGGTATATTAGAAAAAGTAAATATATACCTTACACATTTATTATTTTAAATTATTTTAATTAGTTTCTTGATAAACATAAATAGATGGAGTTTAGTTTATATTTTAAACTAGAGGAAGTATTTAAATAATCACCTTAAATATTAAATAAATAGTACTCCATCTTACTCTTACGATAAGCTTCAATTCCTTTACATGACTGATTTATGAATAATAAATAAATATTTAAAATTAATTAAAAATAATAAATAAGTTAGAAATATAGTTTTATTTTTAAATATATTTTTATAATAAATGAAAAAAATGATAAAAAATATATTAAAAAAATGTAACAAGATGGTATGACAAATGAGAGATTATAAATAATTAAGGGTAAAGATAAAAAAAAAGTGCATTATGTTTACACAAATTCTAAATTAAAGCTTATAGAATAAACTATACCCCTCTTTAAATTTAAAGCTTATAAATCGAACCAGAAAGAGTATATGATTATATTTGACATGAAACCAAAATACTATTAAACTTAAGTTTGCGTGTAATTGATACATAGTAACAAAACAGCGTAATTAATTAATATAATTTAAAAGTAATTTGTAAGCAGTTTTAAAGGTCTTCTTTTTCTTTTTCTTTTTTTCTTTTTACCAGAATCAAGGGTCTTCTTTTTCACGAGACTTACTATTCCGTCTCGAATGCTTCCCATAAAGTCAGCTCATACACCCACGCACATCCATATAATACCAATAATATTTAGTTTTTGGGGCTGCCGACACCCCTTTGACGGCGGGGAAATGGGCCCTCGCGGGATGAATTTATGTAATGTAATTATAACTCCGTAGGTTCTTTCCCGTTTAAGATTATCTGATTTGATTTCCCTTTCTTCGTATTCCTTTGTTACTTTTCTTGATTTAATTTATTGATTTGTAGTGAAAGCTAGAAACCTTCAAGACGTCTCGATAGACCCATGCGTGAGATCTCAACCTGGCCGCCTTAATTGGGTTTTCCAATAATATTCTTTTTGTTTGTCGAAGGGTTTTCCGATAATATGTGATTATAGCAGCTAACATTTTTTTTTAAATGACGGGATACCTATCTAATCTAGCCAAATCGTTTACAGAAAATTTATTTATTTTTCTGTGGCTTTACACTCAAAAAATATTAAAATTTAGAATAGCCTGATTTATAATTCCTATTTTGAAATTTTTTTTCCTGAATTTCCATTTTGAAAATACACATTGTCTAAGGCTGAACATTATAATATTAGATAGATGGAAGGTGACTATAAGAGCCTGTTTGGTTTGAGGGGAAGGTAGGGAAGAGGAGGGGAGGTTTTATCCTCACTTTATTTGGTTTGATTAAAAAGAAAGAGAGGGGAGGATACTTAATGATCCCTTATTTGATTCAGGAAGGGGAGGAGAGGTTATTTTATATTTTTTATTTTATATTTTTACCCTTACATATTATTTTATATTTTTTATTGGTATATTATATAAATTAATTTACATCTTAATTTAAAATATATAATTTAATAAAAATTCAGTCTTATCATGTTAATATGTGCATTAAAAAATTGATACAGTAATTTTGTATTATAATTAATATAATAATATATTTAAAATAATCAAACTAACAAATTTTATATGCTCTAAGAAAAATAAAATTTTATTCTATTTAGGCTATCCTTTTTTTAGCTTTAAAATATATTTAATAAATAATACATTTATAAAAAACAATTAATTTTATAATATTATAATTTTTTATTTAAATAGTATTTTATAATACATATTTTAATTATAATGATTTATATTTTTTATTTAAAATAAATATTATAATAATATATTTTATGGGTAAAATATTAAAAAGACCATGAGGATATAATGATCCAAAAATTTAGCTCCCCTTCAAAAACCCCTAATTTAAAAGGGAGCTAAAATGGGGAGAAGGAAGAGAGGGAAGGGGACATTTTGACTTCCCTTTCCATTAAAATTTTTAACCAGACAAGGGGAGGGGCTCATTTTCCCTCCCCTCCAACCAAACACATCCTAAATTTAGGAGGGGAATCTTATGAAACGAGGGGTTGTAAAGTTTTCTGATTTGTGACAAGACTGTAATAATTATAAGAATGGATTCGAGTCCTTAAAAACTACGCACGCAGAAACTAAAAATTTTCCGGCATAATTGGTGTTTAAGATATTGGGGATGAAAAGGAAATTATATATTTTTGAAAAAACAGCCTAATATTGAATGGATTCTATTATGATAATATCATAAATCAAATAATTAAATGTAAAAGAAATGCGGAAAGTGCAAGATCAATGTGCTTTTCCAAATCGCACCATCATCCAACTTATACTTTTATTTATAAATTTTAGGCAACAAATAAACACACACGCTACCATTTTTATTAGAGTAAAATACTCTAACCTCTATCACGTTTTATTCTAATTATATGAACTTTTTATTTCTATTTTGAAAACATATATCTAGGTCCAAACCATTAAATCCGTTAATAATATTTTAAAAGATGCTTTTGTAATTAAAATTTATGTTAAGATACTTTTTATTTATTAATTTACTCTTCATTATACTAAAATCCATAAATTTTGGCTAAAAATATTTTAAAAAGTTTGAGATTTTTTTCTGTACCTTGATTTTTTTTATTTTTACAAATAGTTATTTATTTTATATTTTTATCAAATTGGGACAGTAAATTAAGTAATTTACTTAATATAAACATAAAAAATTGAATAAAAATTTAATTAGTTTTTTACATAAATATACGATCCATCAAATAAGTTATAAATGTTTGTAACAAACTTTTTATAAATTATAAATTATAAATTTAAATTATTTATATAATTTCCCAAGCTCATATAATTCATATTATATCATCAAGAAAATAAACATCTAAAATATTTTCCATCCATTTAAAATAAACCAAAATAAGTTTTTAATATTCCATGAAGAATTAAAAGTATATAATTCTATAATATAATAAAATTAATAAATTTTATAACATATTAAATATTTTGAAAATATATGTACTATGATTATTTTTTGTTGTATCAAAAATTATTTTTTATAGACATTGATGTTTAAATAACATTTATGTTAAGGGGGAGGTATTTTAATCAAAATAAAAATTTAAAAGTCAAACTTAATAGTTAACTAGCTGTTGGAATGATGGAAATGAAATGTTAAATATATAAAGAATATCTGGATAACATATATTTTAATTTTTAGGGAGACCTATGTACATTTTCAAAATAGAAAGAATGTTTATGTGATTTAGGTAAAATAGATAGATGGTCAATGTATTTTGCCTTTTTTTTTATTCATTATTTTTAACTAATTAAAAAAAGACTCATTTGTTTATATCATTTATGATT